GATGAGGATAAGGAGGAGGAGGAGGAAGATGAGGAGGATGAGGATGAGGAGGAGGAAGATGAGGAGGATGAGGATAAGGAGGAGGAGGAGGAGGAAGATGAGGATGAGGATGAGGAAGATGAGGAGGATGAGGATGAGGAGGAGGAGGAGGATGAGGAGGAGGATGAGGATGAGGAGGAGGAGGAGTTGTTCATCCAGAGATGCTCTAGTGGAAAGAATAAAATAAAATTAAACCCAGAAAAATCACACTTTTTATAATGGATCTTTTTGACTTCCTTGATGTAAATTTGATAGTTATAGATCAAATACTTTATCCACAATGATCAACAGTACCAAGTTTCGTTTAAACATTTTAGAGGAGTAATGACTCACATACCCACTATATGTCCTCAGGAAATGTTCCTCAAGTATAGAAACCACCACGCACGGGGAAATCAGTTACTTACGCATTATGTCCTTCATCGTTGTCAACAAAAGCAAACAGGTTTCAATGTAGCCATTTAATTTTATGAGAATTATTGTGAACATGCAGAGCCAAGAGCCATTGGTTAAGTGTTGCTCTCTCAAAGCTGTTAATAGAAAAGTTATCTTATAGCTGGTGCTGGTTCAGTTTATTTAAGAGATTTACAGTTCTCTCTGAATAAAGACATGTCATGAATATCTAAACCTATGATGAAGCTGTCATGAACAACTAGGTGGTCAGTTTAAATGACCTCACTGTTAATTTTGTATAAAACTGTCTCTCACCAAGCAGTGTTTGCAATGATTTCTGAAGCTACCAAAAAACCAAACAAACAAACAAACAAACAAAAATCCAACACAAACATTTTCTAAACCCACAACATTTCACAGTGGATGAAAGAGGTTTACTTGACTCTTACAAAATTTCAAATGAGATACTTCATTACTATTTTGCTGTCTTTTAGTTTTTTACAGGAATAACAACATTACAAATCAATTTTAGGACTGCTCAGAAGTATGATGAATCAAGAATTCTTTTTTTTTTTTAAAGTTGTAAACGGATCTTTTATTTTATTTGTTTATTTAAATGCAGTGCTGAGGATAGAAACCAGGGCCTCACACATGCCAGGCAAGTGCTCTATCACTGAGCCACAACCCCAGCCCCTCAAGAATTATTTTTAATACATAACTTCAAAAGTACAATAAGGAATTTCAAAAGGGCCTTAGCTAGTTATATGCCACTGACAGTGGACAGAAACTTCTCCATCGTTCCTGGGTATAAGGGAATGGACAAAGGCTTAGTGTAAATTTCACAAATTCCCAGGCTCACTGATGCCTTCGATCATTTCACCTTTTCTACAGTATCCTTTACTGAAAAAAAAGACTGAGCCAGAATCTGAATGCAGGTCTTCAAACTTGGGCTCTGTTCAGGGCTTCTCCAGGTGAGTACTTGCTGCAGTCATGTTCTCTTAGTACATGAAAAAAGATTTATTTATTTATTTTAAACCAACAGAGCCTTTGGGAACAGGGACTATGCTGCTTATAACTGACTTACCAAAAGAATGGGTAAAAAGAGATGCTGAATACCTGCTGCCTGGCTGTACTAAAAGGCTCTTACCTGGATCATGTTCAGCTCTTGGGAATGTAAACTACACACCAGCGGCCTGGGTCCGACCAACCAGCACAGGTGAACAGCTGTCTGCTAACAGCTACCTGTACCCTCTCTGGATGCTAAGTGTTACAAATCTGGTTTAGGATGCAGGGTCTGTAAACCTTGGTTTGTAAAGTATAGTGCTGACATAAAATATGCCAGCAGTTTAAAGTTTTCATGCTAGTCCAAATGGAACAGTTTTAATCTGTTAACAGCTCTGAATAAATTGGACAGATGTGCCCTATTACAATATTTAACCAGCAGCCAGCTAATTCTATGATTATTTAAAAAGACAGTATGCTCAGAATAAATGATGTAGGGTGATTTTCGAACTGTTAAACATGATGTGAAAGTGAGCAATGTGAAGTTAGACAAGAGGGAGGCTGCCTCTCCACGATATGCGTGCATGTACGTGTGCGTGAGTGCGCGTGCCCGCTGCACTGTGGGAAACCAGGAGGGAAGCCAGCACTGCCTCATGCAGGACAGAGGGTAGTTAGTAGGGGACGGGGACAGGAGGGCCAGCGCCCAAGCACAAAGCGCCCAGGAGCACTGTCCCTCCTCCAGAGCAGACCATTCAGAGTGTACTTAACCCTTCGGGTGCTTTCGTCCCTTGACCAGGAAAGTGTGGAGGGGAAGGAAGGCAGAGATGAAGAGGAGGTCACAAGCGCACTCCTCCCGATCTGGAAGGGGAAAGAGAAACACACTCGGGAAAACACAAAACAAACAAACCCAACCGCCTTCCCTGGCTTCAGGAAAAGAGTCCTAGAAGACAACATCCTATGTAAGGTGAGTCCTGAACTCTAGGTGACAGCCCAAAGCCACGCCCCAGAGGTGTGGAATCCCCTGTTGGAACACCTCCTAGAAATTACTCTGAATTTAAAGGACTACTTTTTTCCGTATGGGAAAAGAAGACTTCGCATTTGTGTCACATTTGCCAACAGTTATTTCTAATGGATTGTCGAAACCAAACGTGTTTTTCAATCAGGACTAATATGAATGAAATAAGAGACTACATATATGACTGTAAGTGGTCCACGCCATTACTCTAACCTTGACACTGCAATCACAGAGCTTCTGCAATAATATGACTTCCTTACCTTCTTAACTTTTCTAAAATAGGAAAGTACACTGTGAAAGCTAACAAAGGTTGCTTTTCCCCATTTTTTTCCAGTTATAAAGAAATAAGTTCAACAGCATTCCTTTACACTAAATGTATCAAATCAATTGCCTTAGAGTTTTAAACTCAACTTCAAGATGAAATAATGGACTCAATTATATGCCATTTTACCACTGTGCAATTTAACACAATTAAACTAGGATTTAATTTACTAGACTGTATCCTTTGCTTTGCATTTACTCTTGAGATTTTTTTTGGAACTCCTATATGTTTTGACTGAAGAAATTATAACTGGATGTTCAAAACGATAAATATTAGTCTCGAAAGAAAGCAATGTATAAAGTTCAAAACTTCTGTAACAATTTTTTTTTGGCAGTTCTGGGGAATCAAACTGAGGTCCTCACGCATGCCAGGCAAACACTCTACCACTGAGCCACATCCCCAGACCCCAAACCTGGATTTTTTTTTTTAAATAAATTTATCCAAAAGACAAATAACTTTTGTAAACCTCAAAACACAATTCTTATCTCATTGCAAAATGAGATTGTCAGACCTCTGATATAGAATATAGTCTTTGGAATTCAACAGTTTTAAGGTGGACAAAGAGTTCTTATAATAATTAAGTTTTAGGAGAGGACAAGGCTACACTTCTGGTGGGAAGGGGAGGAGCAGGATGCAGAGCCTCACAACGAAGGTGCAGGGAGCCTGTGAGCCAGTGGACAGGTTGCAGAGCCTGGGGTCTTCTGCACTTGGCTGGTGTACTGGCCACAGGTGCCACCTGCTCATAAGGGAGCAGCCAAAAAGGCATCTTTCCTCCTCAGGCTCCAGAGATAAAGAGGCTCGACCCTGTCTACTGCAAAGATGACACTTCTGCTAGTGACCTTTATCATTTGCTTTTGTTTTTGCAAGTGGGGAAGGAAGGAAGGAAGCTTATACAAAAGGTTCCAACAGGGACTGACTGGGAAATGTATCATGGAAATGAGGAGGAAAGGGGAGTGGGAGCTGAGCAAGAGCCCAAATCCCCAGCTGGACCAGAAAACTTTCAGTCTATGGTCCTGTGTGCTGCGGGAACACTGCACCCACCCGTGGTGGACACATTCACACAGCAAACACAAAGCCGACTCTCAGAGCCCAGCTTGGCCAAGCAGAGGCACAAAAATCTGTGGGTTCAGAAGAAGGAACAGAGCAGTCAGGCCATGCAGAAGGAACAATGGAAGCGCCAGCGGTGCTACTTACGTGCGCAGGGAAGGGCTGGAGTCTTGTTCTGCTCTCCTCAGGGTGATTTGCTTCTCCCATTGGGAGATATGGTTTCTGACCTGATCCCGTCTCGTACATGGACATGGGCCTACTGCCCCGGGCAGATGGACGTCGCTTTAAGGAAGAGTGGTTGGAAGTATCTGGGTACTCAGAACCAGTTTGCACATGATATACATTGGTTGTGGCCTGTTTCCTGAGGTTCGAATTCTCACTCTGGAGTGTTTGAAGCTGAAAGAAATGTTTAGCAGAGGGACTGTGTTTTTCCATAGCAAGCAGACAAAGCAAACATCAAGTGAAAGAACACGATACCAGATCTAAACAATAAGAACAAAAAGGACTAGCTGGATTCAAAGTAAAAGGCAACCACAAACAAGGACTTTTTCTTCCAGAATGAGTGAAATGCAATCAACTTACTTCATCATGCAGTTAATTGAATGGTTTAATTTCTGAATGTGGAAAAGTTGCAATCTGGGCTTTTTAAAAACTATTCACCTCACTACTTAAAATCTGTGATAGCGGGGCTGGGACATGTTTGCAGGCAAGCTGTACTTTGGATTATTTTAAGGTTGGTTCAGCCAAGAGCTTGAGACCATTAGAACATCACTGAAGTAACTTGCTTTCAAATGAGCCCTGAGCAATTGCCAATGCCAAAAATGACAGCAGACACCATGGAAGCAGCACAAAGGTAACTAGAGTTGCTCTGCAAAGCAAGAAGACAGGGAGGCTCAGCTTACAAAAAATCAGATCAGCTACTGCTTTCCAAGAAGCCAACGAGAAAAATCATGATCAACAAGTTTTTATTATATAATAATACTCTTGATATTCCAAACAATTCAGCACTTTTTAAAAAAAGTCAGAGGGAACTGGATTATGGTTAAGTTTTCTTTGTGATATGTCAACATAGCAAACTGGAAACCTATGGGACCGTTAGCCTCTTCATAGGAAGGAATGCTCCACGTAGCACACTTGCTCGCTTCTTGGTCATCGGTCATCATTCGGCTGGGGCTGGAGTATTTGGCCTTTCTCTCCTTTGTCTTTGTGACCCAAAAACCACGAGCATGGTGGGGCTGGCTTTGAACATGCTAAGCTGCCTGGCACCACCCGGTTCTAGTTAGACACTGTCACTGGAGACCCCAAATGCTCTCTCCACTCCTCACACGCAGGCTGCTTCATGGTTAGGGGATCAGCAAGGAATCCTGGGGCTCTTTAGCATCTGGCAGTTTAAACACAAATAACCGTGGCCATCCTGCACAAGGTCCTTCCCCTCTGGTGCGCCTTCATCCTCCACGACATTTTATAAGCAGGGTGTAGTACAAGTTCAGCTGTCTACTCTTTGACAGAGACTGTAAAATCTGACCAAATTCCCTTCCAGTGCCAGGGTTAAAGTCCATAAGCAACTGTCTCTGCATCAGAGGATCCTTACTCTTCCAATAGCAACCCATGCAGCGCTAGGAGGAGTTACTTTCAATTTCTATTTATAAAGCACCGATCTGGGAAAAACACACCAATAGTGGCTGCTCCTCTTCATTAATTAGCATCCTTTCCAAGCAACTGTTAAATGTGAAAGATCAGATAAAAATCATGCTACTTTGTCAACTCAATAAAGAAAAAATTTCGCCTAGATTTAAAATAAAACAGATTCCACAACTTGGTATTAGTAGTGCCAAACCTCTGTGATAGTGTGGCTAACTGGCACAGGAAGGCCATTCCTTCTCAGCCTCCTTGAAGTACAAGCCATGGAGTGACAGACTGCTTCTACACCACAAAGTCTTTGAGGGTGTAACTTGTATTTGCAATCTTCTTTCCAACAAGAGACATTTGCAAGGTGACAAGCAGCTACGGGAAAGCCCTACATTCTGGGATACAGATAGGCTTGAGGCACCTGTCAGAACTACTTATTGAAGAACCTGTGACCTGAGTAGTCAAGGTCGAAAGAATGATCAGCATAAGGACTCATGTCCCAAACATGACTTCGAATGTTTGCCTATGTGAAAAGCCTCTATTAAGAGTTTTCACAGACTGGGCCTTTATCTAACACTGTTCATGCCTGTGAAACATCCAGCTTAGATTTTGTTGGAATGTGTTTTGAGATGAGCACGTTTCTGGTTTTAATTAAAAAAATTTTAGTGCTCTGTATTTAGAGAGATGTCCTTGGATAAATTTGATGAAGTCTATCTTAGTAAGAATCAGGCTCCATTTTTTGTTTGGAAGGAGTACGGAAGGAAATAAAAAGTTGAAGATAATTGAACAGTTTCAGAAATCAAAAGCATTTCTAAGAATTGAAGAGATAATCAATGAGTAATAGCAAGTAATTCCACTCTGCATTTCTTAAAGAAGCTCAAGACATTTGTTCTCAGAGATAACAAAGTTATCTCTGGTGATTTCAACAAATACCAAAAGGAACATTATAGAATAAAACAGGTGATGCTTGGAAGACTGAATTACAATGTCAATGTTAGGAATGTTTTAGAAAAAGTAATCTCAAGAAAATTATTAGTCTGATTAATGGGACAAACTATAATCAATTAAACAAATTTTATTTCAGAAAAGGCAAGAGGAAGTGCAAGTCTTGCGTGTTACAGCAAAGGGGCTCCTGGTCTGTCTCAGTCACAGCTGCTCCCCAGCCCACATTGCTGGGAGGTACAGAACAGTGTCTGTGTTTAAAGGCAAACTGATCTGCAAGTGTTTTCGCTCCCTGCACTGTAGGTTATCAGAGCTACTGATTTCCAAAGTTCTCAAAAAACGTCCCCAAACTCAACACCAAAAGAATCCTAGATCAAACCCCAGAGGAGGTACACAGCAGCTTACTTCCCTAGCGAGGATTGAGTCATAGGCCTTCCTTTAGGAAGCCACTGAAAAGCACCCAGCCAAAATGAAATACACCTTGTGACCAAGTCTTGAAAATAAATCTGCAACATTATTCCTTAATGACAGTAAAAGATAGATTATAGTCTGCTTTTAATAGTTACTATTTAAGGGAAGCATTAAAATGTCATTTTTTTGAAGAGAACTGGATGATGGGTTCAATACCCATGAAGTCTGGGCAACATGGAACTTTTCCATTTCCTTCTCTTGGCCTCCTCGTAAAGAATTACATGTGCGAGCCCCCTCTTCAGTGAATGCTTTGCTACTATTGGCCAGACTCCTTTAGAGATTAGTGTACTCATGTGGTTCTGATTCTCTCAAAAAGTAAGGAATGAGAAAATTCTGAACTGATGGGATCATCTCTTTCTAGTACACAGTTCTTGCTGGTACATGGAGTGAGTATGTTCTTTTATTTAATGAGAACCTACTCTGTGGCAGGCTCTCCTCTAGGCTCTGAGGATGCTGCAAATAAGGTAGGGATCTGGGGGAGGACTGTTAGGCTGGGGTGGGCTGGGACTAACATGTGGACAAACATACACATCTGTCCAGGATTTTGGCCTGTTCCATCTCCATGGTGTGAGTACTCTATAGGACCAGCAATAGAAAGAATCACACCCATGCAGAGGATCCACATACCGAAGAAGCACACACCAGGTGTTAGGATTCTCCTACTTGGGGAATTTTCTCTGGCCGTACTCCTAATGAGAGCTATTTTGGTTCAAATATGTAAACACATCCTGCTTCCAAAAAGACAGCTTGGCCCCAAGATTTCTAGGTCTGTTACAGTAACTGTTTTCCTTCCCTCTGATCAAGCATGGTGCCTGGGATTCTTCCTTATACTATGGGATTAGAGAGTCAACCATCCTGTCATTTATTGACATGTTACCTTTTTCTGCATAATTCTCAGCTCGTCACTCAAGTTGTTATTCACCTTCATTAGCTGTTGTATCTTGGCCTCAGAAGCCACTAGAGCGTTTTTGACCTCCATAAATTCCTGTACAGTGACTGGTCCATCTGATAAATCTGAATCTAGGCTCTAAAAATAAATTGGGGAAAATGTTCACAATCTGAGATGATGATAACATTAAAGACTAACAGCTAAAGAATGTCCAATTCTGGCCATGCCAACTGAATTGCAAAATTAAACCAAATCAAGGCTTCTGAGAGAAATGTAAAACTGAAACACAAAAGTAGGGTCACTGTGATACTCAAAAATTTTTCAAGTCAGTATTTTCTAATGGAGCAGTCAGTGGGGCTACTTTGACTGTCTGAGAAGGTTTGTCCTGTCTTGCATACATTTCTCTTACTCTGTCATTTTCTTCTTTTTTTTTAATCATTTAACTTTTAGTTGTAGGTGGACACAATACCTTTATTTTATTTTTCTATGGTGCTGAGGATCGAACCCAGTGCCTCACCCATGCTAGGCAAGCTCTTTACCACTGGGTCACAACCCAGCCCTGTCATTTTCTTTTTTTATCCATTCTTCCATTAATTCATTCATTCCAACACTTTTTATTGAACATAGGCAATTTCTAAGTGCTTGGGATGTATCAGAAAAGAAAATAAGACAAAGATTCCTGCTTCCATGGTGTTTACATCCCAGCCAGCCACATGACAGAGGGAAAAAATAAAAATAAGTAAATATACAGTACGATTGAAGGTGATTAGTGCTGTAGAAACAGACAAAATGGAGCATGGCAGGGTGCAGGAGCTGAAGTAGGGGTGCAGGTGGGCTGCACATCAGGGAGCTGAGGTAAGCCTTTGAGTAGAGCCTGAGCAGGTGAGGAATCAGTCAGATGGTGTCTGGAGGGAGAGCTTCCAGCTGGCAGCAGAGCTCAGCTAGAGGAAGCAGGTGTGGGAGGCGGAGGGGTGGGAGCCTGCTGGTCAACAGAGGGCCCATTCTGGAGGGTCCCATCATGGCCTTGGCTTTCACTTAGGGAACTGGCAGCTTTTGGACAGTCTGGCAGAGGTGTCCTCTCCATCTGCCAATGGCACTACAATTCTCAGTCATGGAAGACACAAGACTCCAGACACATGTTCTGTAAGTCCATCTTCCCTCTTTGAACTTCCAGACCCTTCCTGTCTACTTTCCTATTCATGCATTCTCAGTGTCTGCAGAAGATCTCTGAGGGCCAGTCCTGGGGATTCACTAGTGACTGAACTACCCAGGATCCTGTGGTCTTCTCCTCCAGCTCACACTCTGGTGCCTCAGTATCTCCCTCTGGGACTCTCCTAGCCTAGGTGCTGAGACATCTTCCATCAGCCCATTTGGACTTCTTCAGGAGCATCCTAACTGGGTTCTCTCTTCATCCTCTGACCTTTGTCCTCCTTCCTGCCTAAAGTTTCCAAGGCTCTGAATTGCCAGGGAGGCCTTGGCTCTTCAGTCTGGGTGTCACATTCCTCCTGCTACAGCTCTGAGTCCCGCTCTTTTAGACAGTCCCCTCTTGTGAGCAGCTTTCCTGCAGACACCCCAGGACCACTTTCTCTCTGCTCAGCATCCTGCCCGGTCTGGCTCACGCCCCTCCTGGGTCTTAGGTGCATGCCAGGAACAAAACCTCCTCAGCACTGGATCTCTCCTCTCCCCCCTCAGCTTTGCTCCTGTTTGGCCTGACACTTGTTGCTTTGTCATTTTACTGCAGTGATTACTCCTCCCAGGCAGCACCATCCTCATGGGACAGAAACTAGGACTTGTCTGGGAGAGTTATGATCCTGAGAAGGCTCTCAGTAAACACCCGCCTCACAAGCTTCCTCAAGTCACGACAGCAGCAAAGCTGTGACTTGGTACTTGGCTAAAGGAAAAAGGACCCTGTTCTAGAGCCATTGACCTTGTGTCACCTTCACTTGGCCTGAGCTGAGAGTGAACCTGACTTTACCTCTACAGCACCTTTGGTAGGGCTCGCCCTCGCCTGACATGGTAGGCAGTTCTGCAGGAGGAAGGTATGTAAAACAAACATATCTGCCCTACTGCGTCAGGCATGTCCTCTCACCTTCTGCCGATTTGCCTTGCTTGCTGTGGTTTCCAAATCTGTGTCTTCATCAGATGCCACACTGTCATAGTCTGGCTGGTCATTGTCTTGACTCTCAATACTGTGCTGGTTATTGATTGTTTTCAGTATGAGCTCCACATTGTCTATTAAGAGAAGCAAATAATTTACTTCAGGCTCAAAACATTTTTTTTTTTTTTAAAAACTGTTTTTTAGTTGTAGATGGACACAATACCTTTATTTATTTATATGTGGTGCTGAGGATCGAACCCAGTGCCTCACACATGCAAGGCAAGCGCTCTACCACTGACCCACAACCCCAGCCTCTCAGAACATTTTTTCCCTTCCAAAAAATTACTGGGATGACTTTTTGGCTTAGCCATTTAAAGGTCTGAAAGAAAATAGCAGAATAGTAACATTACGTTTAGACCAATAGAGGGACAGCAGAGAAAACGATCCACCTCATGGGCAGATGCATGAGGGCCTCAAGCATCCATCTGATTTAGGGGCCCAAGGTGGGCAAATTAGGGAAGCTTAGGAAGGAACTGCCAGGTTGAGGCGGATGCCCAGGCGTGGCTCCAGACCATAAAGATGTAAAATAATGTAATATGATTTGATTCCACTTGCAACATGTTCACAAGGTAAAACTGAAAGTAAACTGTTAAACTAGAACCTGGAAACTAGGTGCTCAAAACACTGGCAGTTAGTCACCAGAATCCAAGGAAGGGGCAGGGAGAGAGTGGACCCAGTAGACAGCCATGTAGGCACTATTAGGAGTGTTGATTCCATGGGGAGAGGCAGGGACGATCTAGAGGCTTTGACATATTCTGAATAAAAAAATCTCATCTCACAGACTACCCAGGTCTTCCTGTTTCTCTCAGGAGACTCAGGCTCACCTCTGACTACTAATGTTTTAATCCAGATATCCTGAGGGTTGGTATCTGGGCAACGGATTACAGTTTCTTAAGAGAACCAGGTTCTATTTTAATTTTTAAATTAATATTTAAAAACTCATAAATATATGTGATTACAGAAGTAATAAAGATTCAACACAGAAGCCAGATGTGGTGGTGTATACCTATAATCCCAGCAACTTGGGAGGCCGAGACAGGAAGATCAGAAGTTTAAGGCCAGCCTTAGCACCTTAGCAAGGTCCTAAGCAACTTAGCAGGACCCTGTCTCAAAGTAAATAAATAACTAAATAATAAACAGATAGTTAGATAGAAGGGACTGGGGGTGTAGCTGTGTTAAGGCACCCCTGGCTTCAATCCCCAGTACCCAAAATGATAAAAAGACTCAAAATAAAGAATTGGAAACCAGTGAACAAAGTGGACAGAAATTACTCATGGTCATCATTACATGCTAATTTCTCTCTTTCATGTCTGTTTTTCCACATATGCACACAGTCAATTCTTGTTAATCTCAGTAGTTAAGTTCTAGAAAGCTGCTGTGAACACTGAGCCAACACCAAACCACTGCTCCCACGGGAAAGACAGGCTTAGGGCCTTGTGAGCCTCTGGTCACATTTTCACCAACTGATCAACACACAGTCTTGTTTTGTGTGTTTATCTTATTTAATACACACTGTTGAGTCATAACACTGAACCTCTGACCACCAGCACTCTAAGTCCTAGGACAATACTCACTGAGCATCATTTTCTCTGAAAGGCACATCTCGGCCTCCTCCTTTTAATGTTTTTCAGTGCTGGGATGGAAACCAGGGTCTCACATGTGGTAGGCAAGTGCTCTACCTCAGAGCTACATCCCAACCCCAACTAAATAAGCCTCCTTGTCCTTAGAACACTAGATAGCACCCTTGGCACTATGCTTAAGGGCTACTTTTTTTTGTTATTACCAAGGATTGAACCCAGAGGCACTTAACCAATGAGCCACAACCTTAGCCCCTTTTTTTTTTTTTTTTTATTTTGAGACAGGATCTCACTGAGTTGCTTAGGGCCTTGTTAAGTTGCTGAGGCTGGCTTTGAACTCACGATCCTCCTGTCTCAGCCTCCCTAGCCACTGAGATAATAGGCACCTGGCACTATATTTAAAATATTAGACATCTGGGCTACTGTTTTTTTTTTTTTTTTAATCTTATTTTTATGTGGTACTAAGGATTGAACCCAGTGCCTCACTCATGCTAGGTGAGCACTCTACCACTGAGCCATAACCCCAGTCCTCATCCAGGCTATTTTTTAAAAGCAAAACCACCACCACCACACACACACACACACACAAAAAATAAATAAATAAATAAAAAAAATTAAAAAAGCACAAAAATGTGAAGAATATGGCATGAAACAGGAGGCAAGGAGTTGCCTGGCTCCACCTCAGCCAGGAGTGTGTTTTAGATGTTTGAAGTTTTTTGCCACTCAGTATGTTTGAGAATGACCTCGAGGTGCTTCAAGTAGTTAATTTGGGGGTTACAAATAAAGATGAATTTGCAAATATGGACTGTGCAGACGAAGATCAATTGTGTGTGTATTAATTAACATGTGGTATACACTTGCACATATGTATGCATTTAAATGTTTTCCTTACAAAACTGGGATTATACTAAACCTTTAAATATTTATTCCTTTATTCCATAGTCTCTACAAAAAAGATGTTTGTATACCATTCAAATATGTAACTAATCACTCTCTACTGATGATTATTTAGACTGTTAAGTTGGGTGTCATACATAACATACATATAACATTTCTGATTATTTCCCTTCAATTAGTGTAGGCACATTTTTAGACTTCGAATTTATGCAAACTCTTGGCACTGCACCTTCACCAAAACTGAATACACCTTTTTAGAACGTCTTTATTCCTAGGTGACCTGATACAATCAAACTCCTGAATAAGCAAGAGGAAAGAACAAATGTTGTTGGATAATGATTCCTATCTTTGGTGAATGTGATACTGGCTAGAAACTTAATTTTTATGGTACATACCTTTTTGTTTAAATGCCTTACAATAAGAAAAGTATAATTTCTATAATTACAGGCAGCAGCAACACACAGTAATGGGCTGCAGAGGAAGCAGCTCCCAAGTGCAGAGACAGACCCTGTGCTACTGTGTGAGACCTGACAAGGCACTCTGGAAACACATGGTCAGTGTTCTCTTCATAATTTTGAATCATAAACTTCTCACTGCAGACATTTAAAATGACAGCAACACATTTTAATTTAGAACTTTAATTTTTAGAACTCAGTTTTGGAGATAAGCAGTAATAGATGAGATTTCATTTAATTAGAAGAGTTTCATTTCTTATATCCTTAGTAAGATTTAAGTTAAACTCTTGGGTTAATTTCAGGGTACATTTTTATAGGTAAAGTAAGTGACTCCAAAAGAAAAAATCATAGTTAAGGTAAATATGAAATAGTTGATAATTTTTAAATACCGTTAATTCACCGGGGCTGAACTTCTTATCATACTGTATTACCAATAAAACTTATAAGATTGCAAGCTATGTGTCAATGACTGCTTTGATTCATTTACAATGTAAATTTTTTAAAAAAACTGTTTTGGTTGTCGATGGACCTTTATTTTCTTATATATGATGCTGAGAACTGAATGCAGTACTCACACATGCTAGGCAAGCACTCTTCCACTGAGCCACAACCCCAGCCCACAATGTAAAATTTAACCCCTGAGTCTTACAAGGCCCCAAAAGCACACAGTTAGAGGTGAGATGCTTACCTTTTGAACCAGAGAGAGGACTGCCCTGCTGTCTCCTCTTGGCATCACTGAGAATGTCGATTACCAGTGTGGCAAACTCATGGGCATTAAACCGGGCTAATTTCTGTCTGCCCTAAGGGTGAGAAGATAATTGGAAATATTCCCCACTGTAAAAATATAGACATGAACAGCTATCCCAAACTAGTCAGACTACCGACAGGATTCTGCAAAAATCTTCCAGCCCAATCAAAGCATAATCAATCATAGCCATAATCAAATCAAAACATTAGTATTTTCCATGAGACTAGGTTAAAACCATTTATATAAAAAACGTTTACATTTAAATTCTCACAATACATATTTGCTTTTGTGAGCAAGAATACAATGGGTTTAGCTGGGGATGCAGCTCAGTAGTAGAGCACTTGCCTAGCATGCTGGAGGCCTTGGGTTCAGTCCCCAGGACCACTTGCCTACCTACCTACCTACCTAAACAAATAAAATGGTTCCACTTAAGGCTTTTCTTCCACTAATGATTTAGTTTTGAAGTAGACAGAGTAGTGGAAAATCAGTTTGAAGGAAAATTTCTAAATTTCAAGATATAGTTGTGGTCCAGATGTGGGGGCTCTATCTTTATTTATAGCCACTAATCATAAACACTGAAAACACCTTCCTCATTTACTCACTGCTTCTCTTCTTGATGGAGGCTGAAACTACTTTTAATGCTCTACACTTATATATATAGTGATTTGATGAAAATTATTGTGTATAAATATATTTTAATTTTACTAAGATATTTTCCAAAATGAAGAATTCCTCTGTAAAAGGATATGCTTAATTTTGAGTCTTGTGAGAAACTGGTAAGCAAACTATTTATTTCTAAAGTCTACAGCAACTTTAAATCCTATCTGTAGCATGATCAAGCTCATCCCACATTGCCAACTCAGAGGATCTTCATTATACATTTGGCTAATCTGCCTTTGGCCTGCTTGCTTCAATTACTAGTAGGGCTAAAGATTTCTTCATAAGCCATTTCTATTTCTTCTGTGAATTGTTTCATATTCTTTCCTAGTCAGCTATTTACATCTATTTACATCTTGTAGGAATGCTTTACCACTGAGCTACATTCTGAGACCACCTACCCCCCTGCCTTTTTTTTGGTATTGGGGATTGAACTCAGGGGCACTCAACCACTGAGCCCCATCCCCAGCCCTATTTTGTATTTTATTTAGAGACAGGGTCTCATTGAGTTGCTTAGTGCCTTGCGATTACTGTGGCTTTGAACTCGTGATCCTCCTGTCTTAGCCTCCGGAGCCACTGGGATCACAGGTGTGTGCCACTGCGCCCAGCCCCAGCCCTTTTTTGAGACAGGCTCTCGCTAAGTCGCTGAGGCTGGCTTTGAATTTTTGATCCTCCTGCCTCAGCCTCCGGAGTTGCTGGGATCACAGTTATGCACTACTGCAACTGGCTCTTAGGGCGTTGTGAATTGTGTGTTTATGCATAAAAAGGACATTCAATTTTAATCAATCAAAAAACACTTAAGATACTCATCCTGGAAATATCAAACACCATGACATCAGCCATTCCCCAAATAATACTTCTAATTATTTTTTAAACTGAGCTACTTGCCTGGTTTCGTGTTGATGAATACTCGGGATTGACCGGAAGAAAGGGGACGACAGTTGTCTCGGTTACCAGGGTGCTGTGGTTTTGCGTGGCAAGCCAGACTAGCCAGAGGAAAGAGCCAGAGACAGAATCTCATCACACCTGGGGTGCCACTGCTCTGCTGGGAGGCACGGCTCACGCGTTACTAGGGAGACTTAGGGAAGCACACTCTGAAGCCAACACACGCAAAGGTACACGTCGACACACGAGTTATCAGGACAGTAGAAATTGGGCAAGTAAAACACTGAGGCTGGCAGCTTGTCACTGCCCACTGATAACAGAAGCTTAGTAGATAAAGGCACATGTTAAGTCACCTGCATCAGTCTCTCGCCTGTCAACTTCATCGTACACATCCATGGCAAGTTCTTCAAACAAATGATTACTTAGCTGAAAGTAAAAATATCAGGAACACAAGGGACAACGATTAACACCAGGAGGACGAGAGGGGACTGTGACTTATTCACCCTTTTATCTCCAATGTCTTATTCAAAGCCAGGGCCTAGCAAATGCCCTGTTACACAGACAACATGCCACAATTGTACAGAGCCTCTAGAAGCATCTGCCTCCCGAAGCAGCCTCACTACTTTATGACACCCAGCAGGGTCGCTGCTACGAGAAGGTTAGAGGTGGCTAATCTTGCGCTCAGAGGTGGACCCAGTCCTCTACTCTCCTTGGGGCGCCCCTATGAGTGTCTTCCATCTTGACAGCATTTGTCATTTCCCCAAAATGTAAGGGCTCCTAAACCCCTGGGAGGATTAAGAGGTGAAAACATGCCCTTTGACAGAATAATCTGCACCACTGCACAAAAACTCCAACCAGAACGGGGTGAGGTCTCTTGGCTGTCTTGCTGGGAGCAGTCCTTCAACCCCAGGGCCGAGTGTCCCTGACAAAACACCACCTGACTCATCAATACTCTGAGCAGTGTCAGCTCACAACACAATCACCGTAGGCTGAGGGGCCTTACTGGCTGCAGGGACAGGGAGGACAATCAAGGTCTTTCCAACTCAGATGAGGTTAGACCCCTGACAGGTGGCACTGGCTGTCTCTGCACTTTTTACCTCAGGAAACTCACTCTGGCACTTGGCAGTTGTGACTCTTCCCTGCTCTGTGAGGGCAGATGCTCAATTTGTTACAGTGCCAACCATCCTCCTCATATCCTGAAGCAGTACCAGATACTCGGCAGGGGCTCAGGAACATCCACTCACTAACGGACCTGAAGGTCTTCTGTGCAGCAATTTAAAATGCCTCACACAGACACCTCACAGGAAGGAATAGTGAAAGGTATATGATACATTGTTGAGTGAAAAAAGCAGGAGACAAAAGTGTGATACACATGAAATAAGACTTGAAAGAAATACACCAAAACACTGAGCCTGAATTCACTTACAGGGACTGAGGGTGATTCTCCCCTCTATTTTCAATACCTCAATGGTCAAGCTGTAGTTACATTAAAAATAAACCCTGAAAGCCTGCTGCTAGATAAGAAAATGAAGGGTTGGGAGCTTGAACTTGCTTGATAAACACTCATCTCTTCCTCCAAAGGACTACAGGCCTTATCATTATTGCTATCACTAACAACAACAGCACTGGTCAACACTGACTAAGGGCTCACATTCCAGGCACTGTGCTAACAGCATCCTATTTAATACTTAAAACACCTCCATGAAGATAGGGTTTGCTATTGTCCCATTTTACAAACAAAGAAACTGAGGCATAGAAGTTAGTAGCTTGCCTAAAGTCAAAAGCTAATAAGTACTAGACCTGAGATTCAGGTTTAAGTCTACCAAAATGTTAACATTTACTAATTCAGGAAAATACTGATCTTTGTTTTTCATTAGGGAGAGAGGGAGGTAAAGAGAAAGAAAGAAGAGAGGATGATAGGGAGGAAAATGAAAGGGAGAAAAAGGGAGGGGAAAGAAGGAAGAAATGAGGAGGGAGGGAGGAAAGGAGAGAAGGAACAAATGGTGACCCGGTCCAGGTAAGAGCAGCACCTGCGAGGAGCCGGCAGGGTAGGGTCCACAGGCAAGAGGAGCAGCAACCCTTCCTGAGCAGCTCTGCTGAGCACTGCCTCCCTCTTCTGGGGAAGGACACCGAGGCACTGGGAGGCTACGGCACCTTGCCTTGCAGAGAAGTGAACCTGACCCACCTGACTCACAGACCAAGTTCACCAGAGCTCTACTATGTTCCCTCCAAGCTATTTACTTAATGCCTGTGTGTGCAGGATATTAGATACAACTTTAGCTTTCATGCAGCTTCTAGCTGAGCAAATGCAAGAGAGTCAAAGGGAATTTGGGGTTTATCTAGGTTTAAATTAGTTTCAATAAAAATCTGCTCATATATTATGAACAATTAAAAGGAAAGCACAAAATACTTGGTGCTGACTTCAAAGCATATCATCTTAATACATGGTCTCTTTAAGAAAGGCAGTAAAACACACACACACACAAAACCGTAGATATAGAACACAGAGACGCCAAACAAATTGCATAAAACACATTTATTTCATAATACAGTTAAGTACTAGTAAGGAAAGGTTCATTTTCTGTAATATTTAATACTTAATGTTATATGAGGTTCTAGAAAAGGGTCTTCTCTGAGAAGGGGAATAGGAGGAAGTCACAAATAGGGAAGTTGCAGTTTCAGAGCTGGGCTTTGGGAAGGCTGCTGCCCACGCTGGGGAGGTGGTCAGACTCCAGCTCCTCGAATGAGAAAGGCAGGGGAGCCGCGTGGGGTAGACACGTGGGCAACAGAGGGCCTCAGAAGAGGACATGAATACAGCAGCTCTAGGTCTCAGAGAGTGTGAACACACACACACA